CCACAGTCCCAATTTCAAGTCCCTTTCCCAGGGCAACAGCCACAACTGCCTCAAGTTTTTGGACAGGCCCTTTATAACCAATCCAAGTTTTCTGGGCTTCAGCTGTCCCAGGATTTAATGGGGTCTAATTCCCAACAGCAGCAGCAACATTTGCCGCATCAAACTCAGTCTGCCTCGTTTGCTGACACAGTGAGTGCCGCTACAGCTGCCATAACTGCCGACCCAACTTTCACTGCTGCTCTTGCGGCCGCCATCACCTCCATCATCGGTGGAGGTCATCCGAACAACAACAACAACAACAACAACAGCACCTCGACGACCTCCAACAACAGCAATGGAGGCAACAACAACAGCAACAGCAAAATGAGCGGCTTCCCAGGACATTAACTAGGATTTTGGGGGACCTATTATTTTTTGTTCATTTGTTGATTTTTATTTTAGTGTTGGCCGTGTCTCGGTCGTGTTTCTGCTTCTGTTTTTGGGGTTAGAACGAGATAGCATGTTCATATCTTTTCTTCTTGTTGTTGGGGAGGGTTTAGAATCGTTACATCGATCACAACTTTATTCTTTCTTTCTTTTTTTTCCTTTTTGTTTTGAATAATTTGATTCAAATTTTTCAGTAAATACACACGAAAACAGAAAAGAAGTAGCTTCGTTTACATATATGTATTTACTATTCCAATGAATGACAACAAGAACTACATACATGTTTTGGTTTCCATGTAGTTTCCTTGTAATCTGATGACTACTTAACAAACTTTGACCACAGCATACCAAGCAAGACAGACAAACGGAAATCGTTGTTTACAAGAAAACCCACAAAGAAAAGAGTGAGAGAGAGGGAATAATAACGTGGAATATTCTCATTTGATAGGCCGAGGACTACGGCTGCAGTCAATGAATTCGGCCATTTCTATTTGACACGTATAATGGTGTACCATAGACTTAGCAGAGACTTCCAGGCAACTAACGTGTGAATAAATTAGAGAGGAGGTCAAATTCATACAAAACGAAGAAGAGACAAGAAAAAGGCAAGTTGGATTGGTTGTAGGTTTCGTGGATTGTGGGCTGCTTGTGCTTGCTAATATTCAATAGGATACGTTGTTGACTTTTTGTGCACCTAGTTTGACATCACGTCACTGCCTTTCATTATAAAGAAAAATAAAAGATTGGCCACACGTAACGTGGAGCGTTGTGGGCCAGCAGCAGCAACCGTACTTCATCCACCGTACAGGAGGAAGAGAGGATCTTTTACTCGTTGAAGACTACTCTATCCATTGATGGACAAAAACTCTCATCTCAGGCGACGGGGACTAGTAAGTTTTTTTTTCCCATCAATGACTTCAAATTCAATAGTTTGATTGGTGGTGGTGGTAGTGGTGACAGCGGCTGTGGGTGGGTAGGAAGTGCAAGTCTTTTATGATATCCACGTGCTTGCATGTGAGTGTGTGACCAATTTGGAATTTGGAAGACTTGTCTCTCATCTCATCTCATGTTTGAACTCTTTTCTTTTTCTTGTAACTTAAGAGTCTACATTATTATTCTTCAGCTGAAGAAATTTCGATCCATATTGAAAGGGAAAGACTTTGATTTTTATGACATCTCCGATGCGAACGTGCAGTTTAGATATTTACGACCGTTATTCAGGGTTTGACATTACTACCAATACCAAACCTACTGCAGGCTGCAGCCACCCAATCAATGAATTCATAACAACACAACTGTAGCAAGAAATTCTTATTTTTTGGAATATTATACATATTCCCATATATTTCCATTCAAAGATAAATTGTTATTTTCTTTTGGGATCTTTTGGTTTCACACTTTGTTTACATTACACAAGTTTTTTTTTTTTTTTTTTTGGGGGTCAAGTACATTACACAAGATAGTAAATCATAAATCAGTTAACATTTTTTTGTGAAATTTAGGAAAAAACCCAAAAGAAACAAACAGCTCTAAAAAACACCCAAACACTTTTCAACATGGCAAAAAGGCCCATTATCTTTAGCTTTAGAGACATGCAAGTCCTAGAACTCTTTCCTCCGCCATCAGCATGTGAATATTTTGTCTTCAAGCAACCAGACCATGTGAAGCCTTTGTCACTTTGCATCTGTCCAAACTGTTCTTAATGCGCAACGACAGTACCAGATATAGTATTTTGTTTCTTTATACATATTTCAGAGTGCGTGTATAGAGAGGAATCGTTTGTTTGCCATCAGTGTGCATGTGAAGTTCATATGAAACTTCATAGAGATAATATCAGATAGAGAAAAAGATAGAGAGTTTTAGATAAAGAAGAACTTTTCTTCTTATCCTTAGCCATGGTAGAAGTCGGTGTAATTTGTGTATATAGTTTGTAACTCCGAAGAAAGAAGTACAGAACACTAGAGAAGAAAAAATCTCAGTACTTCCTCCTTCAAATTTTCAATCAATAAAACTCTCTTTGTTCATACACTTTCCCTTATTGTATTTACTTATTCCGACCACTGTTAATACCGTCGTTCACTGTCAATATCTCCGACCACTGTTTATACCTGGTGATAACAGTAGTTCCAGCAACATAAGCAATTAAGTAAGTCATTTTTCTCTTTTATTCTTGGTTTTCTTAGTAGACTTCTTGTCCAAAACAGGGAAACGCTGTTCATAATTATGTTATTATCTTGCTAAACTGACGATCAATACTGTGTTTGAGCACTTGGTCATGTTTGATATTTGCCATAACAATAATTGGATGTCTGTCAGAGAACCTCTGAGTTCAGAGGACCTCTGAGTTCTGCTTCATAGCCCTTAAGTTGGCGTCTTTGCAGTTCCATGTTCTAATTCTATGTTCTAGGCATGGTGTCTGGTTGTTATTTTGGCTTTTAGAAAACCTTGACCGAGACCCCTTCTTGGTTCAAGAATGGTATCAGAGTTTTAGTGTTTAGCACCTTAATAATATAGTTATACCAGTAAAGTACCTTGAGGACAGAAGTCAGTCAACACAACTGATAAAAATCAACAAGACATAATACAGAGGAGCAATAATAGCCGAGCAACATCTATTTAATGATGATCGTCTGACTCTCCTGTACCAGTCCAAGTTTATCAAGGTGTATTCAGAATCCACATTCAGGAGACCAGATGATATATATGAATACAAGATTAGCACTACAGGAGCAAAAGTTTTTGACGAAATCTACAACCAGATAGCAGAATAGATTACAGCAGAAGATAATGACAACTCGTACTGGAATAGCTTAGGAGAAGAAGAGCTACACAACATAGATAACATGATGGATGCATGAAGACCACGTGAAGAATCCATCCAGCAGAACAGCCGCCAAATTTCTTGGCTCCATACGGCAGCAACATATGAAAAGAAGAAAAATTTCAGTTTCATACGACTAACGGATCCCCTAGGAAATCTAGAAAACACTAAGGGCATTATTGTCCAACCACTTTAATTTTGTCCTTCTTTATAAATATTGTACCCATTTTGGGTTTATTTATAAGTCTCCCCATTTTTTTGGGGCAGCTTTCTAATAAAAAAAAGAAAGAATAATCAGCTTCGGCATTGAACTTGTACCGTATGAGATATATATTTGAAAATCAGATACAATAAAATCCCCAAAATCAAACCCACCATATTATCTCTTCATAAATATTAATAAATAAATAATTTTATTAATCCATTGACAGAAAGTTTTCTCTTCTTCGTTGCATGATAAAATATATACAACAAACGAACGAGCTGTCTTGCTTCCAAAATGGTCTTTCTGGACCAAGGCAACAACAATACCTTTATACACTGGGCCAGGCTTCACTGTTAACATAAGAACACAAAGAACCATGAGAATAGAGTCTGGCCCAAGAAGCCCAAACTCTAAATCTGCTTTCGATACAAATTCAAAATTTTAATAATATAGCCGGACGGCTATACTGTTAAATTATATTTGAATATTTTAATTGTATAGCCGCGCGGCTATACGCTGTAATTATATTTTATTAATTGAATAGTATAGCCGAGCGGAGATACTCTTTAATTGTATTTTAATAGTATAGCCGCGCGGCTATATTCTTCAATTCGGCTATATTCTTGTGAGAGTTTTATCAGCAACTTTCGCTGATTTGCCTGGACCATAATTTAAATGGGAAAAGATGGATGCAGCGCCTGTAGCTCGCTTGGATGCGGCGGCTATACAGATAAAGAATCTTCTATTCGTGTTTGCTGGATACGGTACCGTTGATTATGTGAGAACCTTGTATTGCTCATTAACTAAACTGTTTTTTATGTTATTAGCTACATCGGCTGAAGAAATTATAAAATAAAATAAAAACAAACAACGAAACCATAAAGAAACGGGAAATGGTCAGTGGCGAAACCAGGATTTCATGTGTGTGGGGGCCTCTTACAAATTATAAAGAATCAAAAATTCGAACTCACAATACATACAAAAAATAGTGTATATATATCACATATGTCAAGTATTATATTGCTTATTGGTTGCAATCATAATTGTTCTCGACAAGAGGATAAACAAATACATTCTAAGCAAGAAAAATTGCAAGATATAGACAAAGAGTAGCGATTTAATAAATATCTTTAGAGCTTTTTCCCCCATTAAACCCAATAGAAAGAAAAAAAAAATCAAAATTTCCCAAATTAAAAACAACCTTAGGCCCCTTCATGCATTCATATCATATATGAAAAAAAATATTGACTAAGTATGAAAAATGGATTTTTTAGAATAATCATTTTCTCAAGATAATTTTTGGCAACTTTTATTCCTTACACATCAAATAAGAAAACTTGATTTTATGGGATTTTAGTACGAAATATATATTGACTTAATGAGCCATCAATTTTAGCATGAATCGTATTTTTCACTAAAACCGATTTTTCATATTTTGATTTGGTGGGAATTTAATTTTCTAGCATTTTTATTTGAATCCAAATAAGGGGTACTTCTTTATTTACATTGTAAACTTAAGTAAATGGAGTAATATAAAAATAAATTAAAGTAAAAGGACAAAGACATTTACTTAAATGTTGAAAATGTAAATAAGGTAATTTGTACACCTGGAGTGCACCACCACCAGTTGAGCAAGGGCTCAATTTGAACTACCTTCTTGTGACTTAATAAGTTTCCCACAACACATGTGGGTACATATCAAAACGTAAAATATTTGAAATAATATACATATATAAATACATAACAGTATATTACTTTTAAAATATAAAAAAACTTGAGTGGGGGCCCGGGACCACACTGGTCCCAGTGTGGCTCCGCCCCTGGAAATGGTTCTAGATTTTTTTAGCACAAACTGCTACATGAGAGAGAAAGGTTTAGATTCTATAGAGCATGCAGAGAATTGGATAAGGATGTCGAGATTTAAAAGAAGATGTGTTGTGTTGCAAGTGGATTAGGAATTGGTAGGAGCAGCTATCAAAGGAATTGGTGCTTTTATTTCTTGATGTGAGAGTTCGTTGATCATTAAACCTCGTTGTTGGGAGTTGTACGTTGTGGTTAGTGTTTTTGTGGATTCCAACGAGCTACTTCAACCCCATTGTTGTGGGTTTTTTTCTTCTTGATGTGAATTCTTGCCCGCATTGTTCTGTTTGTCAAGCAGGAAATTATATTCTTTAAATATATACAAATTATTTAAATATATTCTAATATTTAAAAGTAAATATAGTACAAATAATGTTGCGTGATAAAATTATATAGAACGAGCTGTCCT